CCTCCCTTGTGTTTCCTCTCTCAAGGTATTTGCTTTTTCATCGATTATCTTGCTTGCTTCTCGGTTATGTGAATTTTTGCTGATTATGTATATGATGCTTGACTTTTAGATGGATGGTCAATTAAGATTGCAGCTGGAGTTGGAATTTAAATTAAACTTTCGTTATATTTGACGGATCTGTTTTGATTTGATTTGATTACTCTGGTTGAACGAGAAAATTTTCCCCTTTAATCTTTTGGTTTTGTCTGATCTGTTTATTTTGCTGTGAGTTTTTGTTGATTATTTGTAAATTAAGCTGTAAGCCTTTTTTTTCCTATAGAGAGGATAGGAAAGGGTGGAATTGGTCGATTTTTTTTTTTTTTTTGCCTTGGTTATTAGTAGAAGCTGCAATTTGGACTGAGATCCATTTATTCATCCATATAATTCATAATTAAATAAATAATGAATTATCTATTTATAGTATTGATTTTAAATAGTTGACAAAGTAAAATTATTAAATTAAATAAATTTATATGAATTATTCACAAAAATTATATATATTTATTTACTTAAAAATCAAATAAAAGATAGAAAAAGAAAATGACTAAAAAAGGAGCCATCCTAAAATTGTACGTGAAAAAGCCGTCCCTGTGAATAGTAACCTGGCACCACAGAATTTGCGGTTCAGCCTCCCCACCTCCTTTCTTCATTTCCTTCCGTTCCTTCCCTTCTTTTTTCTCTACATTTTTATATTACAAGCTCGCAATATCTATTTGGGGTCGGAATTCATTAAACAAGACTAATTTGTTTAGCAATTCATGAAGGTGTTGTGACTAGCACTCTGCTTATTATGTTTATGAAGCGCTTGATGAAATTCCCCTGAGAATGTTGAAGAAGAAGAAGAAGAAGAGAGAGCCAGAATGCCTGATTCACCGTTTGCCAGATTGCTCAGGACAAAAGGAACATGCCCTGCTTGGTACACCCATGCACCTGATTACTAGATGTTGAGCTCAAAAGTCATCCGTGGCTTTAGTAGTAGACACTGCAAGTGTTGTGTGAGTACGAATAAATGCTAGTGTTGGTATTTTTGTAGATACCCTACATACGGTTTATGCGGGACTTCTATTGTTTGGGCTAGTTTGCAATATATGGCTACTCTGTAATATGTAATATATACACATATATATAATAATAAAAATAATTTCAGATAGTTTTTTAGTGAAATGAAGGTTCATTTTGCTTGAATTTACATCCGTGGTATTTTGTGGCTTGAATTTATAAGAAATGGTAATACAAAAAAATAGTAACAAAAATATTTAAATGAATTATAAATGGATAATTGGTTTTTATTTAATCCATTTAGATCCATCCATTTAGATCCATTTATTGAATGGATCTAAATGAATTGGATAAATTTCATCCACTATCCATTAAGTCAAAATCAATTATGAACCATTTATCTATATTGCTACCTCTAGTTATTATGGTTCAGGAATTTTAATTAATAAGCATCCTCGGTCACTCGAGAAAAGAACAAGTTAGAGGAAAAATGAGAAAGGACCAGTTGCATAAGCATCCTCACTCACGAGAAGAACAAGTTAGAGGAAATAAGAGGAAGGACCAGTTGCATTATAATAAGCATCCTCACTCACACAAGAAAAGAACAAGTTAGAGGAAAAAAGAGAAAGGACCAGTTGCCTTAACCCTTTCCTAACAAAATAAACAAATAAGAAAAGGATTATTATACTAGAAAGGTTGGAAACAAGATATCGGCCTCGTTTAGCAAGTAAGTTTTTAGTCAAATTTATCTATTATAAATTTTTTAATAATTTTATCTATAATAATTTAAAAAAAAATTTAAATTATATATTTTAAAATATCTAAAAATTTACATAATTTTTTTTTTATAATTTTATAATAAATTACAATAAAATTTTAAAAAAACACCTCACAAAATTCACTTATCAAATGGGGCAAGAGTCCCACTCGTTCAAGAAAGCAGACCAGTAGCCTTAACCGCGTGGGTTGGGTAAGGGTAAAGCAGGCAACTAACAAATTGGCACGCAGACGTTCCGTCTGGAGTCGGTCGTCGCTCCTATAAAAAACCCGGATAATCGGCTTGTTCTATCATTCAGACATCTTCATTGTAATCTATATTTGCTTGGATTGTTAGTTATTTGGGATTATTTGAAATATTTTTACTGTAACACTTTTTGTGATGTGATGTATGTGAGATAAAAAGGTAATTGAGAAAATAAAAAGGTGTATTGGAAATTGTAACGATGAATGTAAGCAAATAAAATTGGATAAATAATGCTCAATCCAAACAAACCTGTTGGTGGGCTCTGATCCTTTTGGCAGTGTTGTTTAGACTTTAGAAATGTCTCATGGTAAATATAATCGATTACTTGAAAGTAGAGGTGGCAAATCAACCCACTTAACTAAATTTATCCATACCCGCCCATGAATAGATGGGTATGGATATCTTAAATTTTTGTATATGGGTATAAATAGGTTACCCAATAATACCCATTTAATGGGTATTATGGGTATTATATGGGTATAAATGGGTATTATTGGGTAACCCATCAAACCCAATTAACCCATTTAGAATTCTCTTCCTCTAAATCTCTTCCTTTCTCCCACCCATTTTTTTTTTCAAAATTTTCATTTTGTCATGATATTAACTACTTTTGTTTCATTATTATTATTATTTGTTGGTTTTATTTTATTATTTTATTTTCTCTTAATTTGTTAACTTGCTCATTTTTCGGCATTACCAATTTATGATAAATTTGAGCCACTTTTCTTATCTTTCTAAAATGAAATTTTAAATTTATATATGGAAAAATTGTTAGGGGTTCAAAATTTTTGGATTAAATTTTTATATTAACTTTTATAGTACTTAGTTCAAAATTTTATATTCTTATTATTCAATTATTAAATAATATATAATTTTGTGAAATAGAGTATAAATGAAAAAAAAATTGATAATTAGGCTTATTGAACATTATAAGTAAATATTTAAAACTAATGATGGGTATAAAGAGCGGTATAAATTGATAACTTAGTTTGCAAAAATGAATTTACAAAAAATTAAATAAATGGGTTATAAATGGGTAATTGGGTTACCCAATTCATTTTTTGACTTACCCATTTATACCCATCTAATTAAATGGGTATAAATGGGTTGACTCACTTATACCCATTACTCATTTTACCCAACCCAAACTCGCCCAAGTCACCTATTTTGACACCTCTACTTGAAAGTAATATGCAAAATCAGTTCCTTTGGGATTCTGCGTAGGAGAGCTATAGGTTGATTTTGTTGGTCTGTAACCAATAATTGCCTTGCGGTTTGCTTTACCATAAGTTAACCCTTTATACCTGTGAACTAAACAAACCGAACCTGAAGCTTAGCCTTGAGGAGAACTTAGATTATCATCAACTTCCTTTCACAACAACACAGTTACAAAGGATCTCATAGATGGACATCTTGTGTTCGTTTGAGGACTTAGACAAGTTGACAATAGCATATCGTTTGATTAAGCTGAGATTACCAGCTTGAAGAAGAAGGTGATAAAAAGCTTCTCTTCTTCCTTTTTCAGAAGTGGTTAAACAGAGTATTCTATTCTCTAGATACAAATGACATGTTTACCTGCCTTTTGAAGGCAGAGCTCATGGTTTAGATGCATTAATTTTCCGATCTTAGGACTTGTTAGCTTATTGAAAAGTACTTTTCGAGTACAATTTTTAATAAAAATACTTATTAAATATTGAAGTGCTCTTAAATATATTGTTTGGAGATATAGTTTAATAAATACTTATTGCATTGAATAATGTGTAATTTGAAAATTTTTAAAATTGTTTATTTCTTTATTTAGTTCATAATATATGATAAAATAATTAAATTTGGTATTCTATCTTTTAAATTACAAAACTACTCAAAAAGTACCAAATTTAAGCACCAAAAATTTTATTTCTAATTTTATGAGATGATATTCATCAAACATTTTAAAAATACTTTTAACAACTAAATATACTTTTTTATCAAAAGCATCGCAATTCCAAACCGGGCCTTAATCATTTCTTTTAATAGAACTTCTGTTTGAACTAAATCATGGGCCAAAGGCCCAGAATTAAGAGAATAAAACGCGGTGCTGAAAAACGTTCTTTATATGGACTGCACATAGAACGGAGCCCAAGCTCAAACTATTTTACCTTTTCATGAGATGTAAATTTCCGCGCATTAGCTTCCTGCGGCGCCGCAAGAGATCATCCTTCTTTTCCCGTGGCATTTCTGCATAACGCTTGCAACGCTTGGCATTTCTATCCATTAAGCTGGCACCACGGAAGTAAATAATTCATGCACTCAGACACAAGCCATCCATCAACCATAAAACAGCAGAACACCGGCAAGACAGGAATACATCTTTTACTTTCACACCATGGTTCGTCGTCGCGGGTCGCGGTCGCGGTCGTTCCACATCCGTCACGGCATATCAATTAAATATCGGGTGATACGCAAATTAAAGTATATAAAACTTTTAAAAATTCTAAAAAAATTATTAAAAATAAAAAATAATATAAGCAATACAACTATCAAATTAAATTTGGTAAAAAAAACCTAAGTTAACATAGATACCATGTAAGTCTTTGAAAAAAATGACGTAGTTCTAATTAATAAACAAAAGATGTTGAAAAAAAATCAGTTCATTTATTGTTAACTAATCCAATTTAATATTTGTTGGACTATTCTAATCTTGTTCCTTTTGTGTCAGGGGGGTTGAAATGTTGAATGAATGGAAACGTGAATGCATTCAAAAAACAGAGGATTTTAGGTATCCCCCTTTGATCAAGAAATGTTTGTACGGGTTAGAGAGAAAGTTGGAAAGGAAGTGAGACAGAATCTGGTGGCCTTTGAGCTGTGATTTAGCTGTAATTTTTTCTTTTTCTTTTTTTTTTGTCGGGTGTTTGTCTCTCTCTCTCTCTCTCCTCACTCCATTCTATGGCTAAGACCCACACTGCCTCCCATAATCCCTAGCAAACGTCCGTCCATTCCACCGCCTTCCCCCCTTTATTTCTCTGTCTCTCTCTTCTCAAGCTCCACCACCATTACCAGTTTAAGACCACCCACAAAAATCTCCAAAACCCCGAATCCCACAAAATTTTTACAGATTCATCTTTCCACCGCCTCCCCCCCTTTATTTCTCTCTGTCTCTCTCTTCTCAAGCTCCACCACCATACCAATTTACCACCACCCACAAAAATCTCTAAAACCCCGAATCCCACAAAATTTTTACAAATTCATCTTACTTCCAAATTTGCTCCAATTCTTCTTGTTCGTACTCCCAATCTGAAGATTAGGATCAATCCCAACGAAATTACGAGTCTTACAATCACAACCCTCAAGAAATCTCAACTAATTATGATGGGTTGCACTAGCAGAAGTGATGGAATGAGGATGGCAACCGGTGGGAGAAAGAAGAAATCATGTGGGTGATTTTGTTGTCTGACTCGCGAGTTAACTCGGCCAAACTCGGTAAGTTTTACTGATTTCTTATTGATTTGAGTTGACTCGGTAAATATCGACCGAGTCAATCCGAATCAACTCGGACTCGGTCGATTTGGCGAACCATGTTTCACACCACACAACGTCTGTAGCAGACAAACCATGCAATCAAATTGACAGAAAAAAAAACCAACAAGAAAGGAACAACAAATGCTAGTAGAAGAAATCGATGTGGTGATAAGTTTAATTTTCTGGTCATTTGTTACAACATACCCACCTCTTCTGCCGCCCTCTCCCCCTTCCCCGGCTCCCCTGCGGTTTCCAATTTACCAATTTGTAGGCATGTTTTTCTGTATATTTCTGTTTATTTATATTGATAGGTCCAATTATATCTATCTAAGTATATGTTTCCACTCTTATTATGAAACTTAATAACTTTACCAGTCTTTCCATTAGCATTTAGTGCCCTTGTAATAGCACATTCTTGAATGTATTAACTTCAAATATTAACTGAGTCATCCTGGAGTTTATCATACATATCAGTTTTGCTTTTGCACTGAATCAACTAGCTTACAGTTTGATTAGTTGCAGCTTATTTTTCGCAGAAAATTTTTTATATTTTTCATGAGTGCATTTTTTAATCATTTTTTTAATTTATATATATCAAATTGCTACAGTAAGTATATATATATATATATTTACTTACTTATAAAAACTCTTAAAAATAGCAATGCACATGGGACCTGAGTTTCAATATAATTTTATCCTTCTGTGTATGTATGTTGAATACTAATGCTTCCATTAAAGTAAATCAATAGGTAATGGTCTCATTAAAGAAATGCTAACAATTAATAATACTACCTAAGACCTGGGCAGCCTCACGCATCGCGTTTAACGAGTATACAAAAAAGCAGGGAAGACAAAAATGAACAGTAACACTTCGTCCAGTTTCACCATTATTTTGTTAGGCACCACTCCCCCGCAGTTGCTGAAAGCCTGAAGCTTAGACGTTCCCTCAGCAAAATCTGTTGGCTTCTCTTCCTTCCCATTATGGTTCACTGTTTTCAGCACCCACTCGCCACCACCATTTACTGGATCTTCCTCTTCCCCTTCCTCCCTCATTAGGTCGTTGGCAGAAGAAAATTGGAAAAAAAAAATGCCAACAGTAGGTTGTTCGCTGGCATTTAAAAAAAAAAGACTCATGCTAGTACAAAAAACACAGCAGAATTCGATTATTTCCCAGTGATTTTCCAGTCCTATTTCATTTCTTTTTCCCTCTCTTCCCCTCCTGTTCCTCTCTTCTTCAAGACTCTCTGCAACTTGTCGTTTTACCTTATCCATAATAACCTAAGAAAACCCTTTAATTTTCCTCTATTTTAAGTCAGCAAGCCTTCAGCATTTGAAAATGAATAATAAAATTTTAAGGTTATAAAATACTGCAATTGATAGTTGAGGGGGTCAACACGTGAATTAGTGATGGTCCAAGGCTACAGTTTGCAATTACAGAAAAATAAAATGAAGGAAATATGGAGAGTGAAAAATTCTTTTTAGATTTGCACTCACTTGACCTTTCCCTCAATTCCCCCGTCACCTTGTCTCTGGCTAACTATCCGGACAATTATCTCGTCAACCCTGCTCAACCTACTTTATCCATTATTTTCCAATTAAACAATTTCTCCCTCCTTTTATTAGCTGATTCTTTAGCTAATTTCAGTGTGATGTAGGGTAAACTGTAAGTATGGAGAATAGCAACAATCATTGTCTCTCAATCACACCTTCAAGCTTAGTACTTTTATCAATTATTGGGTTTATTACCTTGATCTTGATCCGGGTTTTATACATTATACATCGGAGCAGCCAACCTCGTAGTGCCTCGTCACAGCAAAAGCCCCTCAGCACCCTCATTGTTCTGGGTTCGGGTATGCATATCCTTTATTATTTGATCTATTTTTGAGTTTTGGATTGTGGGTTTTGTTGATTTTTCCATTTTTATTAATGGGTTTGTTTATATATTTTTTTCTTGCAATGAATTTGTGATGGTAGGTGGGCATACAGCAGAGATGATTAATTTGTTGAACGTGCTTCAGAAAAATAGTTTTACGCCTAGGTATTATATTGCCGCTGCGACTGATAACATGAGCCTTCAAAAGGCACAAGTTCTTGAAAGCTCTTGGCTCAGTGAGGTATTTTGTTCCGTTTTGTCCTGTTGAGTTCTTGATTACTGAATTTATCTTTATTAGTAGGACTGTATTCTGTGGATACTCAAGCACAACTAATCTAGGATGTGAATCGTTGTATTGATCTGTATTAGATTGAACTATTTATTACCTTAGAGAATTATTCTTCTATTGTTATTGACAAAAGATAATCGGATGAATCATTAATTTTACATCAGTGATCCAGTAAAGCTTATGAAAAGGAACGGATTGGACTTATAAACATCTGTTTGGATCATTCATGTGATAAATGACAGCCTCTTTTCAGTATTTAACAGTTAGTCATCAGAATCAACCTCCTTACTCCAAAATCCAAGTATAAAGGTTTGGTTTCCACAAGAATTGCAACTATACACGCAGGTTGCTTTGTTTTTAAAATGATTTTCTTATAGCCTTGAAAACTCTGTTTGTCTCAAAGGTCCAAATGCACTATCTTTGTTCCTGTTTCTTAGTAGTTGGGTCAAATCTATCTACATCCAGCTTTTGATATACAACACTTTCTAGTGTGCTTAGTTTAGATTCGGTAGTTAATAAGAGAAAATTACATGTCTCTGTTAATTCTTGTGTCTTCATGGGATGAAACACCCAACATATCTTCTTCATTTAATGAACGCATTAAGTTTGTACCTGAGAGTTGGGCTACTTTTGATGGGTTCTTTTAGTTTGTTTATGTGCTATGGAGATTTCTTCCCCTACTTAGGCTGTCTAGTAGAAGAAGAACCAACGAAGGCATTCTTTAACTGCTTTCTCTTGTTTTAGGGAGGAGTTGAAGAGGTTGGATCTGCTAAATTCATGCAGATATACCGAAGCCGAGAGGTCGGTCAATCATATATAACCTCTGTTGGAACCACCTTAATCGCTTTGGCTCATGCATTGTGGCTAATGATAAAGATCAGACCTCATGTGGTATTTCATATACCTTATACATGACACTCTCTCTATAAACTACTGGTGAAGTCCTGGCTTTTTCTCCTCTTACCCTTTTGCTTTGTTGGTTCTGTTATTTGTACTCTCTGCAGATTTTGTGCAATGGACCTGGAACTTGTATACCTCTTTGCGCAATTGCTTTCATCTTCAAGGTTTTACGTCCTTCATCTGCAAGTGTCCCATACCTCAATGTTCTTTTCCAACTTCTTAATAGATCATTAGGTTCCTCTTGTTAATTTACTAGTACAACAATACAATTATAGGTCAGTAGCTTCCTCTTGTTAATTTACTAATATGATGGCGCAGAGTTGCAAACTCAGAAGGTGGTTAAGGATTTAAGTCTCTCTATCTCTACATTTTCTACTTAACTTTGACTGTTTTGATTGTTGATGGAGTCTGCTTTAATTATGTTCTATGTTACTTTCAGATTCTTGGAATTAGATGGTCATATATATTCTATGTTGAAAGCATTGCAAGAGTGAGGAGGCTTTCTTTAAGCGCACTGCTTCTTTACAAACTACGCATGGCTGATCAGTTATTTGTGCAGTGGCCACAACTAAAATCAAAATATCATCGAGCTCATTATGTTGGGCGTCTTATGTAACTCATTCATTTTTTGCAGCTGTTCAAAGGTACTTCAATGTATAAATTTCAAGTTATTGTCATATATGTGTGGTTTATAGTAGCCCTTCTGATAGGTGTCTCTTTAATTTTATGAAACCATGGTTGTCTTTGGATGCAATCTATGAAAATTAGTCAGCATTGGCTAATTATTTAGAAATGTTTTCACACCACAAAGGAATAGCATGTTAACATTAGCGTAGAAATTAAGTTCTATCTCAAAGCACATTTTACTATGTGATTATTGCATGGAGAGGCTTGTCTACAAGGCTTGATTAGATACTATCCAGATTCTAACTCACCACCCAACAGAAAGAATGACAAACTGCACAGTTTTATACTTGATGGTTCTGACGTTGTAGCATCGAAACATAATGTATATAGACTGGAAAATTGTTAAACTAATCCTGAATGATGCTTTATAAAACTAGCCCTGTAATTATGTATCCTATACTCTGCAGGTTAGTCAGAGCGAAACTGCCTTTTTGACTAATTTCATTTCCATTTTTGGTAGAACATGACTAGTGTCTTGATTAAATCTTCTTAACTTATTTTAGGACTTAATGCTTGAACAAAGCCAAGTTTTCCTGGTCACAAGCGCAATAAATTGATGAAAAAGTTGCATAAGATGGTCCATTATCAGTTATAATGAATCTAATGCTATTTTTTTGCCTCTTTCTCCGGGTTCAGGGGGTTTTTTTTGTTTGTGTTTTTGGGGGGGGGGTTTAATTTGAGGTTTAAGTTCAAAATCTTTCCGATTTGATGAGATATGCTGAATGGCTCTCTCCTTTCTTCACTAGTGGTCTAATGCATTTCTTTTTTCTGAAACTCAGTTTCATGAAACTTGGGCTATGACTTGCGCGCCAATCATCTGGGAGGATGACTTGACTTACCGTGTATTTGATGGAGATGGTTCTATGACAAAATGTATGATTTGCAGGGAGAAAAAAATTAGCTCAGTTTTAGCTGTTCTTTGTACTCAATGGTGAATATTACTTAGTGTGGCAGGGGAAGCTGACAGCAACTACCTTGGGGTTCCATCAACAGACAGCAAGTACACTGACGTATACTTTTTAGCCCTTAGTTCCTCTTTCTACAACTGCTTTATATGCCAAAACATCTTAATTTGGTATAACATTGTAAGAGATGAAGGAAAAGGCAATCTGGGCATGGAAAATAGAAATAGGTTGTAGACATGTATACCACTCTGGGCAAAACTCGTGATTTTTTTGAGAAGAAGGGGGCTATTTGTGCTGATTATAGTGTGGTAAAAATTTCATTTGACACAGCTATTGACTCTTCTTTCATCAGTTATTTGTTGAATTTGATGCTCAGGAGTTCTTAAATGATTTATAATAGAACTTTGACATGCAGCATATATCATTTTCAGTATTGAAAGGGTGGCAGAGAATGTTGATTAATTTTTGTGCTGGTGTTAAATATTTATAGAGCTGAAAACTTTGTCATCAAGGTGCTAGTTAAATTCAAGACATTGGGATGTCCTATGCTTCTTCCTACATTTACTTTTCAGGAGAATGTTAAATGCTTAAGGTATAAAGAGTATGCTATAAGGAGATGACAGAGTATGGTAGGATAAGTGAATTATGGATTCATGGCCGTTTTGAAAATTTGACTAGAATTTTGATTCATTACTCCAACTTAATTGGTTAAGATCTATTGATTATTCAAAAGAGGTACTTTGATAAATGTTTGGAACTATCATTTGGACGTACCTGTAATTTTTCCAAACCCTAAGGAAGTAGACATAAGGAACTCAAATTGCATAAGGTACTTGGGAACTTTTAAACATATATGTAAATAATCTAATTAGCATTCCTCAGTTGTAAATGGGATACTTGATAAACGCTCTGTTATTCTAATTTCTAAGTGATTTGGTCAAATTATAAGTCCATTTGATAATTTTGCCAAATTTTAGGGGAGGTAAATGTCATTTAACTCAATTATTAACTATGGCAACCGGGTCAAGAGTTATTTAACCCAATTATTGACTCAATGACAACCATAAAGCTTGCTAGGTTATCTTTGGTTGAGTTGAGCTGTTGAGGGAATTTGTCTAATTAATAAGTGTTAGCTACCTACTTAATACATGGGAACATATAAGAGTTATTTACAGAGATCATTGAAAAAAGGACGCCTTAGAAAAGCGAAAGTTGTTAAGAATTGAAACTTATTAGTAATTATGGATTTGAAATATATTATATAGCAATGTAGAAGTTATAGATAAATATGGCACTGTTTTCTTTTTCCCATCTATTGGATATATTAAATTTGTTTGGATAGAGTATTATTTGAAATAATTATTGTAGCACTTTTTGTGATGTGATGTAATGTATGCGGGATAAAAAAATAATTGGGAATATAAAAAAGTGAGTTAAGAAATGTGTTTATGGTGCAAGTGAAATATTATTTGAGATATTTGTGCTATCCAAACACTCCCATTGTTAAAGGTAAAGTTAGGAGGAGGTCCTAAAAGTGACAAAATATTAAGTGCTAACTTTGCTATAATATGGATATATGCCTTGCTCTCTTTTGGTGTAGGTTTTGTATATGTCAATTTTGGAAAGTAATTACATACAATAATCAGCTATCTGAAAAAGTTACTCTTTGATAGATTTTGGATTTTACAAATGAGAACGTAAAAAAAAAAAAAGAAGAAAATTGGTAATGGCACTCCAGTTTTTGTTAATGGTATTCACATTATCAGTTTTATCATATAATTATTATTTATTAGACAATATGATTAAAAAAAAAGTGTCATTAATAAAAAAATAAAGTGAAATTAACATTTAAAAAAATTAATTATTCAAAATTAGAATTTAGCAAGATCAACTGAGAAAGCCGATAAAAATAAATAGTTCACAGTCTATGGTTAACCTTCACCTCCTTTAGGGCTGGGCTAATGCAGCTTCGCGTGCCTAACTCTATATTCATTGGACTGAGCCTTAATTTATAGCTCCCATGAATTTGGGCCTCAATTTTGGACTCGATTGTAATGTCCATAGAGTTGGGACTGCACCAAGCTCAACCAACTTATTGCTCGGTTCAGAAATTATGATCTATTTTTTATTTTCTTTGTAAAATATAAATTAGAATCTAGGGTCTAGGGCTTTGCAACAACAAAGGAAAAATCAATGTTCATTTTAGGTGATCATTTCCTCAATTTATATCCCATAATAATAATGGTGGTTTTAAATGATTAAAATTGTAACTAGGGTTATAACATTTTGCTCTCTTGAATTTACGGGTAGTTACACTTTGTCCTCTTGAATAAAACAAAAAAAAAAAAAAACACTTTGCACCCTCACCCTACTCAATAATAGGTCCTCGAAACTTGTGAAAAAATTTTCTTTTATTTTTGCTCTTAGTATTATTCACACTTTGTTCCCTTCAGCCAAAAAAAAATTGTATACTTTGCTTTAATAATTAGCAACTCTATATACAATATATTGAACTATTAAGAAAGTTATAATATAATTTTAATATTTACAACTAACATACTTTATGCTAAAACATTATTGATGAAAAGTATCATATATATAGTTCTTCAAAATAAACTTTCTATAATATTTCTTTATGTTACTTTTGTAGGTTTTTAAGAAAGAATTAAAACTATTTATAGTTAAAAATGTGCTATAAATAATCCCATATACCATAATATCTTTTGCAATATTTAAAATTAACCTCAAAATCTTTAACCTTAAAGAATAAAAAATGAATTATGAAAGAATTTAATAAATTTGATATTAACAAAACATTATCAACAAAAAACTGAAAATCACTTGCGAAAAACTAAGCATCAAAAGATAATGTTTAATATAAGTTGAATTATAAAAATTAACAATTATGTGTTAATTAACCTACAAGCTATAAATATGTTTTTAAATTACAATATTTGCTCCAAGTGTAACAAAAGGTATGTGTATTTTGTTGATATCAAATTTATTAAATTATTACATAACTCTTTTTTTTTTTATTTTTTGAGGTTAAAGATTTGAAAGTTTATTTTACATATTTCAAAAGATATATGGCACATGAAATTATATATAGTACATTTTTTGCCGTGGAAGTGTTTAATTCTATCTTGAAGAAAACTTAAAAAATACATTGCAGAAAAATGTTAATAGTAAAGTGATTATATAGAAAGTTTATTTTAAAGAACTACATCTATATATATATACACACACACACACATTTACAAACTTATTTACACCTATATATATATATATTTCTGTGTGTGTATATGTGGTATTAAACTTGATTAAGTATAAATTTATATTTTATATAATTTTAAATAAGAGGCAAACTAGATATTTCATATTAATAAAAATAAAAAATAAACAAAACTATATATGTGAAGCTTGATGAGATCGATTAAGCTCAACGAGCTTTCGAGTTTTACATGTTAAGTTCGAGCTTAATTCGTCAAGTAGGTCGAACTATTTGAATTCGAGTTCAAACTTAGTCAATACAAGATCTATCTCGAATTTTGACTAAATAAGCTTGAGCTACTCGATTAATTTCGATTCGTTTACATCCCTAACCCCCACCATCTTATAAGTTTTAGTTCTTAACATTGGTGTTGACATTAAATATGATAGTTATCAACCTCGGTATTGATATATCAAAAATGACTATTAATGAAGAAAATTCAAATTTAAAGCAGTTGATAAAGTAAAAGACAACAAAGTAAATTTTTTTTTTTTAACTCTTATCCTCCCTTTGTTGACTGGTAATTTAATGCAAGACTACCAATATAAGAAATATTATGTAAATCAATTCACCCACTGCAATGGTGGCAAGGAAGTTAATACTATAAGTGAAAGGATAATTGATCGAACGCATGAAAAGGAAAAAGAAAAGAAATCTAGACAGCCCATTGACATAACGTGATAACATTCTCATTTCTATTTGCATTGAAGGAAAGGAAGGGAAACAAATGAAAAGGATACAAAAGGTTACCAATAGAAAAGAAGAGGAAATGCCACTAGCGGAAAGTGGTTTCCACTATTTTTCTTTTTTGGTTAAGTATAGAAAGAATAGTAAGAATAAATTAGATTTGTTGTTTGGTTTAGGGAAGGAAAAGAGAGGAAAGGAAAGCGTCAGATTTTTCCTAAATTTTTTCAGCAGGAAAGTGGTGGGACTTAAGAAGGGAGAAGGGGCAGGGGGGAATTTGAACAGAGTACCTCTAATTATTGGAATCTCAATTTTAATTACTAAATAAAGGCCTCCTCAATAAGCATTAGTTACTAGATAGAACTTATAAAAACGAAAATTTGGTTTAATTTGGTTCCTTCGCTATCCGTTTCTGGTCATAAAAATAACCATTTTCATTTCCTTTCCTTGCTCAAAATTCAGTCCAGACAAGAAAAATTAAAGCTCTCCAATTCCCTAATATTCATTATTTACAATTATATCTAATTGAAAGTTTGAGCTGAACTGAATTTGGCCCAAAATTCCACTATATGTGTGAGTTAGGCATGAGTCTCATAATCTGAAACCCGAAAATCTTATTTGTTTAGGACAATCCTAGAAATGGAGAATTGGAGAAATGTGAATACAATGAAGTTGTGTATAATATATTGGATTAGGCTCCGTTTGATAACACTGAATCTGAATTCTAAATTCTGAATATTGAAATAATTAATTTGCTGAATTTTAAGCACTGAAAAGAGATATATGAATGTCTGAATCTTAATACTGAATCTATTTATACTGTTTGATAAATATTCATAACTTAATGCTTAATAAGCTAAATTGTACAATTTTGCCCTTCTATCTTTTAATCCAAAAAGGAAATAGAACCTATGATTTAATTAGCTTAAAATTGTTAGGTATGAAAAAGACAATATTTATTTTTAAATCAAATTAATATAAAAGAATAAATATATTATGCAAAACATTAAAAGAAACATTACAATCCAATAATTCATATAACATATAAATTCAACCTAAAAAATTTAGAAATGATTGTTTGAATAGAGAATATCATATTGTTTTGTTTAATTAGGTAAGGATTTTGAATAGAGAATATTAGGTTGTTTAATTAGATAAGGATTTTGAATGTAATTAACAAACAGGGATAAATTTGGTAGATAAGATAAAGTAGTTGAAGGAAATCTCTTAATTCTTATCAAATTAAGCATTCAGTTACGATTCTTGTGCTGAAAAAAATACATACAAATTCAGCACCACTTAATAAGTTCAACATGTGAATTTTTATTTATCAAACACCCAAAATCCCTTAATGTCTGAATGAATTCAGTTTCAGCACATTTTTATGTTATCAAACAGGCACTTAATCTTATATATACTGTCAGTGTATACACAATCATAATTAGATATCTGACACATGTATACAATTTGAATTTGAAATTTAAAATTTGCTCATATGTCATGCATTCAACCGTGATAGTGTATACACTACCAGTGTATATAAAAATTACTCTAATATATTAGTTGGAGAAGTTTAAATGGCATAGGTTCATAATTAATTTATAGCTATGTGGATAAGATTGATATGTTTTCTTCTTTTTTTTTAATCATTGCATTCAAACTATTTTATCCTTTTTAATAGGAGTATTAAAGAAAATATTTAGAAATCCAACAAAATTGAGTGAAAAATAGGTTCAAATTCAAACCAACAAATGTTAAAAAAATTAAGATAAAATAAGAGCAAAATTGAAAAAGAACAAAATGCCAACAGAAATACGTGCAACCGTGGGTCCATCTACCATTAACTCCTATACGGACAAGATTTTCATGCCAACCGTGCCCTTCCATCTGCCAATAATCACAACAGTGCCCTTCCATCTACCAATAATCACAACAGTGCCACTGATGCTTACTTCTTACTTCCTCTGCATGCAGACAGCCGCTCTGTCCTCTCCCGATAAACTCTCCCCTTCCTCGTTGCTGTCACCATCAATCGCTCACAAATTTCAGTGCGTGATTGTGTGTGAGCTCTTCCGTCGTCTTTTCGATCATTTTCAGGTACAATGCTTTGGTCTTCACTTCGCAAAATTTCAACTTTTTACTGTTACTAGTAATTCATTAGAGCTCTGTTGTTGGAGTGCGTGAGGAAAGATGGGATTTTTTTTGGATTGTTTTTTTGGCTGTGTGAGTGAAATGTGAAATTCTTCGAACTAGCGAATTCTTTTGTTGTTTTCTTTAGTTTGGAATGAGTAATCATAGTTCTGCATTGCTGAATTGTTTGATGTTGCGTTTATGCTATCAAGGCTGCCTAGATGATTGATATAATTGGGGATTTTTCTGCCTTTTTTTTTTTTCCCTTTACCGTTTGCTTTTTCTGATTTTGATTTTTTCCAGCTGTTAAATTTGTGCATGCTTGTGAATTATGTGCAAATGTATAAGTGCAGGTGTAAAATTATCTTTTTTTATCTTTAATTTTGTTTTTCTATGTCTATGTCAGTTACAAATGTTTATACGTGTGCGTGTGTATGAAAGATGGTGGGAGTTTTTTGCCAAGTATTCTTATCATATGTGTGGGTATCAATTATCAAAGATGGTTTGGTCAATTATCAAAAATGTAAACGTGTGCTTCTGTTCTTGCATTAGAGATGGTGATGAGGCTATTGGCATATCTTATTATATGGAGAGAGTGTGTGTGTGGGTTTGGAAGATTCCTGAGTTCTTGAAGAGATACAAGTGTATGTCTCTACGTGTAATTAAATAGGTGACAAAATTTTTAAATATGCATCTTTGTAACGTGTCTGGTGTGCGCGCATGTTTATGTGCTTCAGAGATGGTGGAGAATTTTCGCATATATATTGGCAATGCATATGCAAGAAGATGTATCATATGCATATAATGTATCACTTGTATGAGCACCTTTATACTTGCTACAAATGAATTAACTTATATGGCTTAAAGTATTCAATTTTCCGACGATTTTAGGGATGAGATTTGTTATAAAAAAATTAGATCAGGGTAATATTGATTTCAAATGTGGCGATGTTTCAATTGACTGTCGAATTTTTCCACTCATCCATGGCCTTATTCTAGTAAAAGTCAAACAAATTTCTTTCTTATTTCTGTTGATATTCTTCTGGTATCTTTTGTCATGTAACTGTTGTCATCTTTTCTTATTTTTTGTTTCTAATTTTTGCATCCTTAATAGACAAAGGTCTAGTTACAGCATTTGCTGTGGCTATGGATGAATTAGTTCTCCTTTTGTATGTTTTGTCTGTTTTCCTCTTTTTTGTGTAATTCCCGTCTATTCTTGTTAAGGGAATGATTTTTCTAATGACAGCCGCCTTATTTGAGTATTTATGTACATGTCTTCTTTGTTCCCTTATACAATGCTACATGTACGTAACATATTTACCATTCAATCTAATGTGAAAAAAGTTGAAAGCTGATGTGCAAAAGTCAATTTCATTTGCCATGTTTTAATATTTCATCTTTGCGTATGCAATCCAGTATTGAGCTCGCTAATTAGATTCTTAAGGGGAATAATTTTGGGATGGTTTATAGGCCAAAATTCCTAATGGAACAAGTCTGGGGAAAGTGTATAACTTACAAGGATCTTCTTCCCTAATGCTACAGAGCAATGGTACCATTGGGGTGGGTAGACACTTCTTGCAGTTGATCAACACCTTCTCCGTTACTGTTAACAACTCATCCATTTTGTTCCCCATATCCTTTCTTGCTAGATGATATTTCTGCCTAAATATTCAGTATTTGTTTTAAACATATGGGAATTAGAGGTGTTCTTCAATTAGTAGCTCTTCCAATTACAGTATGGTACTACTAGTTTCCATTTAGTACTAAATGAAAAAGTTGAAATGATACCTGGGAATTCATTCCAGTAAACTAATATGTAAGATGGAGGAAATGAAAGCTATGTTCAGAAGTAAACAGGTCACCAAATCTAAGATGCTGTTGTTTCACATGATTTCTTCTGGAGCTTCAACACTGTATGCAACTGAAAAAAACATTCAAACACAAAAACAAAAGAAGCATTCTAGAAAACTGAAACCCCTAACATGCTACATAAACCAGGACATACTGCTGGATTTAGACAACTTTATTCCAACTTTTAGCTGTGAGACCTGCTTTTGTTTTATCTGTGCTGTTTTCAGAAGATAACTTGAGGTTGCTCACCATATCTGATTATTTGGATGAGACTTGCCTTACATATCTATTGTTTCCAAACTGCTGCATGAGATGGTAAACTAGCCCTCACGACCCAGAGGGCAAAGCTTTTCTCAGTATATGCTGAGTATCATAATTAATGGTGGAAACACTATAAAAGAATTCATGAAATGACTGCAATGTTTCAGAAATATTCCATCTAGAAGAACTCAGAATGAGACAATGGAAAGCATGAAAGTTTGCTTTTAACCAAAGACTCAGTTTTAGATTACTCTCCAACTGTGAAAATTAGACAGGAGGGGAATGCCGGCCAATGACTTGGATGTATAATCTTCATGCTATCAAGGTATTATATAATCTGCATGCTAGCAGGATCACTGTTGCGTGGGATGAACTATCTTGTCCTAAGTTAATGCTGAGATGGCTTTTTAATCATCTTTCTTCTTTGAAAAATTTGGATGTGTATACTACTGATATTTCTTTATTTACAGATTCAACAACAGATATCTGTTGGAAACATTTTCTCTGTATCACCAAAATATTTTATCATCATATTTTCGTACTCATATTGCAGGTCGAAATTGACTAAGACTATGGATTCTTCTCTCTGGGATCCACCAATTTGTGAAGGTTGCTCTGCCTTGTTATTTTTTTAGCTAAATGATTCAAGTTACTACGGGTGGTTGTTTAGACTGAAAAAATTACTGGAACTCTGTATAGATTCGAATTTTGCAAGATGGAAATTTTCTATTTCACTAAAGCTGACTTCTTATTTTTGTTTGTGTAATTTTTGGTTACAGATGACAGTGCCGATTTTAAAGGAAATTGGCAGTCTGATTTCTCCTCTGGTGTGGGGTGCGGTAAGTTTATCCCCTTTACAATGTTTGCTAATCAGTTTCTTTAGGGACTTTTTTTATACTGACTTAAGGTCCCCTCTTTTCCATTATATGTGTGTCATAGATGTCATGGAAGAAGATGCTATAAATGAAAGGTGTTGTATCGAAGTGCTGAAAAAATTGATACCTAAGGCTGATGCCGAGATAAAGGAACTTGAGGAAGAAATTATATTTCTTCAGGCCCAAGTGGCTTTGGAAGATGATGCTTGGGCTAAGATATGCTTTGATACTTTGACAGAGAGGACCAAGGCGCTAGATATCTCGATTCAGAGATTGAAGAATGAAAAAGTGCAACAGCAACAAGGACAGGCGTCTAGTTCGCAAACACATGGAGATCCTGCTCAGAATGAAAAACAACAAACAGAAAATGAACTAAACTTTTGTTTCCAAACAGATGGAGATCCTGCTCAGAATAAAAAACAACAAACAGAAGATGAATTGGATGTTTGTTTTCAAACAGATGGAGATCCTGCGAAAATTGAAAGCCTACAAACAGAGAAGGACCTTGATTCTCACATCCAAACATGTAAGGAACCTTCTCAGAACCAAAAAATACAATTGGAACATGAGATGCCTGTTCTTTGCCAAACACATCTAGAACCTGCTCAGATTGAAAACCTGCAAGCGGAACATGAGCGGGATTTTAATTTCCAAACAAATGGAGATCCTGGTCAGGGTGAAACACTACAAATGGAACATGAAATGGGTGTCCCTCACCACAAACATGGAGAACCTGCTCCGAAACTGAGTGAAATACTAAAAGCTCTTCTGGAAAAGTACTACTTTCCAAACAGAGATAAGCAGGTTTGTGTAATACCTCAATTTTATTCTGTTGCTCTGCTGCCCCATTAAGCAAGTTGGCATGGTTAATTGATTAGACATAGTTTTTCATATTACCCTCTACTATCCCCTGGTTTTTCTTGTTTGTAAATAAGTGCAATAGTTGATGTGAAGTGAAGCGGCTGAAAACCTGTTCTGGATTATTGCTGGTCATGTCACTTTTCAGAATATGTATAAATTTCCTATCCAATACCTGAAGATATTTGAGACCTTAGCTGCTAAATGCTTCCTACCATGTTCACTGGTATTAAGCATCTCAAAAGCCAGATAGATGTATGACTGAAAGAGTATTATCGGGTGAGGTATTTGAGAACTTAGTCAAAGTAACTTTCAGGGAAAGAAAACCTTTTCTTTTGCTCTAGGACCAATCAACATTTTTTTAAGAAGTAAGGAAGTAAAACAGCTTCATCGATTACATGAATTAGATCAGGTGAACAAATCACTTTCCGCTTCCTCTTGTTCATCACGTTTTCTGGGGAATAATGGTATGGGCTATTGCGGATTTAAATTATAATCATGACTTTGCATGCCAACATGATGTACGCTAGTTGAATTGTAGTCTGTTCTTTTAATTTAACATCTTCTGCACTATTTGTATATGGTATTGCTGGCAAATGTGATGTCAAATACTCCATCTTTGCCGATGTGTATCACTGGACATTTGATGTCGACTTGGTGCTTGGAATTTGTTGTGTGTATTATTTGTTTCTTTTAAGACCTCATTTAAGTAACAATCACTTTTCGCTTCCTCTTGTGAGAAGCTCACCGCTCTCCAGTCCACAGATGAGACCGGCTTGAGCAATGCTGAAGCAATAGCCTGTGTTGCTAAATCCTTGGAAGAGATTGCTGAACCTTTTAATCTGGAAGTTTCAGAGGGTGCGGAAGAGAAAGACCAGGTAAAGACAACCTCTTTGCATTATTTTGCAGTTCCTAGCATGGCTGCCCTGCGAAATCTGTCAAGTGCTAGATTTGAATTCGCAATTCTAACTTGTGACTCGTGTAGACTACAAGATATCCTTTCTCTTTGTTACATTTTCATATTGTTTTTCTCCAAACAATGATCAGAATGGAGATACCACAATCATCAACTCATTCCCAAATCTTTCTGAACATGCAAGTGAAGCATCCACCAAGAGAAAAATGATGGAGATTGATTCAAGCGGAATACATGATTCAACGACCGAGGCAGAGAAGAGGATGTATACCCCAGACAATCAGAAGGTACCTACCAATCGGTCGTCAAATTAGGAATCAATTATTATAAATGTACAAATTTTCTTTTGACTTTGCTAATCTCATACAACAAACAGGAAGCAACTGCTATGATGATGGATACCAGTGCGAATGCCTTGAGCTACATAGCTGGTTCAAGCAGTGGAACAGTGGGCTGCAATCTTTCTGAAGAAACAAGCGGGCCGGTCACAGTACAGAATTTCAGAATTGAAAGCACTAAGTTGAAGCCATCTCCAAATCCCGCCGAAACCACCATTACAGAAACTGATATGGTATGAGATGTTTCTTATGTACTCGAACTGATAAACAAGTTAGGCCTAATCATTTGTGAGACTCTTGGTTTCTGGTTTCTTTAGTTTGATGTAAGCATGTACTAAACCTTTTTTCAAGCTGAGGAGGCGACAGTAATGTATCCCTTTCGAGCACCCTCATATCGTTTAACTCACTGAGACGTGACTTATCAGTTGTACCTGTTATTATATTGTGAATAAACATATCTTATAATTACTATATTAATACTTATTCTTCTGAATTCTATTAGTTACTCTGCTTGAGAATTGAAATTCTCAGTGTTGGTCGAAATATCGATATATCACGTTTAAATATCTAAACGAGGATGTAGGATATCTGCACCATATGCAGAACGAAATTATGTGCGTTAATGTATTTTTTTCTCTTTTCTTGATTTTTTTTGTCTATTGCTTTTGTATTCTAATTCAATAAAGAAGTAATTTTTTTCTATAAAATTACTTGTTAAAATCCTAACCAATGGAGACTTTTGACAAAAATGGGATTTTGGGTTTTCACAATTTTTCCCCCTACAAAGTATGAGGATTCAATATCTACATGGTAAATTTTCATTTCGGAGATGATTCTTATGTGACTAAGAAACTGTGTTGCATCTTTTTTTTTGTTTTTTTTTGTTTTTTGTTTTTTTCAGAGCATGTTCCAGCTTTCAGATATCACTTCAGTTTGCATGACTGATCCTGTAGAACGGAAGGTTGAAAAGGCTGATATAAACAACTCGAAAGAAACCGAATTTCCCCTCCTAATGAAGCAAGAAGATTGGAGGCTTTTTGATTTCGAACGGGCACTTGGAGGATCATCTTCAGAGCCATTGCTGAAGGAGAGACAGGAACCACAACTGTTGAATCAAACACATCATATTGAAGGAGTTGGAGCAGAACCATTCACGTCAAACTGCTTGAAGTCAGGGATTCCCGAACACAGAGACAGGCCCTTCCCCATGTTTGAGTCGGGACTACTTCCAGAATCGGCCCTTGGTATGGAAATGGAGTACAAACCTCAAGACTCATATAGAATAATTCTTGATGAGAATAATTCTATGAACAAAAAAATAAAAGAGGAGACTCATATAGACTTCAGCGGAGAGAAGAGTTGCAATGTTGTTTCGGCTTGTCAGTCACCGGGGACAAGGCAGAAATCTGTACTCCCCCCATTGATCAAGAAAGGTGAAGAGTTGGGCAATCTCCAAGTCACTCGGACGATGCAAGAGGGAAGGCTCAAAGGTTTGTTCAAGGAGGAAATCGATCGGATCTCCAACTTTCCTGCAGCGAATGAATTTGGAGTTAAGAAGCCTCTCAAGTTACTCTCTTGTACAACATCCGTGGCCACAATGAATCTCGAGTTTTTGTCGATGGCTCAACTCAGAGCCATGGCAAAGGAACGCAACCTCAAAAGGTACTCTAAACTCAACAAAAGTGACTTGATCAAGCTTCTTAATTTCCCACCTTCAGCCATTTAATTTCCCTTGTGATTGCAAACATACTCAGTTACTATGGAAGTCGCACGTACTTATCTCTGCTTCGGTTTTTAGCCATTTTACAGAAAATGCCATTATAAACTTTAAGAATGTGGAAGTGTGACTCATCTGGATAAAATTTTGATGATTTTTGGTACTCTGTTGGTTTCTTTTTGCCGTGGAGCTCGATATTTGACCGGGCCATAATATTGCTGGTGATTTACTTGCTTGGGTAACTGCATATGGATATTATTATTCACGACAGTGCATTCTTGATATAAGGATTCTGTGAAATTCCACACTTTTTGTGGTTATAATTCGACTGCACGCAGGAGGCAATTCAGCAGATAATGTGGTAGCAACTCCCCCAACTGTTATCAGCAAATCTATTGAGTTGGCTTATGATAAGTAGTAGTTGCAAAAGCAACTCTCTTAGTGTTTAGCAGCTACAGAAAAACCAGAGGCATCACCTTTTCTCTCAGACCGATCTTCTAAATTGTTTAGCAGTATCAGGGAAGTTACAAAGCCATTACCGTTTTCCCTCAAGGATTGATACAGTCAGCACTTGCTCTCCTTTAGCTTTCAGAAAGTATCAATCTGATTCTGGATGAATTCCATGTTACAGCATAAAGACAAATTTAGAGAATGAGGGTATTGTCAGGATTGGGAGTTTTCAACTGAGTGATGAATTGGGGGTTTATCTTATCATTTTGAAATCAAAGGCCAAAACAATCCGAGACTTACCTGCATTTAGTAGTCCAAAGAGAGACCATTTGCAGGTACAGAAATTTGAAGAAAGCTAAAAAATAAACCATTGGAGTTTATCTGCTGCTTTTGATCATGGTACACTTTCAGGTCACAAAATGGAATATCATTCTTCCCTGCAAACAACAATAAAACACAAGAATCAAACAAAAAATTCTTAGAAAGAAAAATAGAACACAACAAAGAAAAGTTTTGGCACTTAAATATTTTCCTAATCTCAACCTATCCCATATCTAGACTTATCCAGAACTAAGAAAAGTATCTCACTTCAGAGGCAGAATCTAAAACTCACCTTTCTGAAAGATTATGGGCAATGCCAGAACTTTACAACGCACGACAGTCAAAAGCAACAAGATAGAAATAGGAAGTTGGTGATTCTCCTCTTTTTCTTCTCTCTCTCTCTCTCTCCCCCACAGCCCACCCCCTCGCTCCCCCCTCCCCCTCCCACCAAAAAAGAAATATCCCAAAAAAAAATTCTATATTCAGGTGCTGAACCTGGACATATATCATATCAAAATTTGAAGTACGCAGTATAAGATCTACTTACCAATTAAACAGGGCATTATGACCACATTGTCTCAACATTAATAATGTGTCACAAAGCATAGAAGTTTGTCTGTATGCCCAATATCAGAATAACTAAACCAAAGAGATCCATGTAGGAATGCACTAAATTACCCAAGGCACAAATTCCAAGTGATATTAACAATGAGTGCTACAATTAGAAAGAAAATTGCACACGACAACTTCAAGAATTATCTAATGAGACAAAATAGAAAGCAGACAACACTCATTTCAGTCATCTTCCTCCATGATAATGGCTCCAAACAAACAGTGAGTACATCTGTCACTGACCTGGAACCAGACTTGCTTTGGAAAGGTCTACATTTACTATATCCATTCCCAAAAGATAAACTAATATCTTACCCCCGTTCCTTGTCCTTAATTTTCTCTGATCTATCATTTAGAACTAATTTGGATTTGATTTTAGCCATTGGTTAAAATCGAAAGAGTCAAACATCCACCTTTATAAACCAGGCTAGAGTCATAGGCTGACATTCAGAGCATTACTTTACTCAAATCCCTATTTACAGGAAATCTACAAGAGTTGCACTAAAAAATTAACATCTTCTCCACGCACCTTATTAAATCAACCCCAAACTTTAATAACAGTAATGTCATTCAGACACATGCAATCCGAAAGTAGACTGAAGAACTCCAAGTTATCATGATTCATGTATATTTGTGATGAAGGCTTGCAAGGATCTTTCTGATGAAGCTTATTTGAGGTTTTTCAATGAACTCCTCGTTTGCAGGGGTAAAGACTTTTAACACACTAACTCAATCACTAAAATAACCAAACTGGAAGTGTAGAAATTCAAAAGTACCCTGAAAATGTAAAATATTCCATTTCAAGAAATCTAAGATATTTAATTTGCAATATAAGACTTTTCAAAGTACACAACTCCCCCAAATTAACTTTTTGTGCCATTTTGGCAATTGTATATATTCCATTTCAAGAAAGTGGGTATACTAGTAATAAAGAAATAGCTCAATTTGAAAGTGAAGTTATTTGAAAGAATAAGTAATTAATCATGCAAGTAGAAGGGACAAAACAAGAGTGGGGCTGCATGAGACCAACCAAGTTCCCTCCATTCCAAGTAAATAGGTTAATATCCAGATAAAACTTGAGAAACTAGACTCCACAACTACTCATCAGCATGAGCTACACATCATTCTCCCCCGTCACCACAGTACAACCACCCAGAAGCAAAAAGTTCAGCTTTTCACCCCAAATGGATGTTTACAGCTGGTTAAGTGCAGTTCCCAGGCATGCAGTTCTATTCTCCATATAAATGATAAAATGGACACTGCTAATCTAGTAAATAAATGGTGTAGGTAGTGTCCACCTTTACATAAGAATGCCCTAGCCACGTATTAACATCAAGACAAAATGATCGTGTTACATATGTATACTAATAATTGTCTTGGTGACTATAGAATCATTTGTATAATTCTGAGTAAAAAAATTCTTTCTTCAGTAAGCTAACAGCATATTTACCCTTCTCGCTTTTTCTTATCCATGTTTGTCCTTTTGTAGTTTAAAGGTGACTGAGAAGACAAAAGGTCAGATGCCTGAAGAATCTAACATGTGGATTGTCAATCGAGAGTAATAGAGGTCTGAGATGAAGATCAAATCACTCATTTAGTTCTTCTAAAAACGCACTTCCTTTTTTATGTAGGTTCCCAAAAAAAGAATCCCTAAAGTTTAATCTCCACTTTCTAAATTTTTTGACACAATACAGTATGATGAAAGAAATACTGGTGAACTAAAATATCAATGGAAAACCTATTCAACTTCATCCAATGGGTGATAGTAACTCTGACATGCTTTATCACAATGATCATTCTCCAAATATGGCCCCGCATTTAGATTTTTGAGTTTTTCATTTGACGTGTAACCCTGACTACCATATCACATTTCTTCATTTAAATACAGTGTTTATGTCAAAAGGAACTGCAGCTAAGTGCTAACTGCAAAACTTATCCGTTTCTTATTCTTGTTTGTTCTAATGCTGCACCCTCCACAAATCGCTATGAACGTCTTTTATGATGTTAACAAGTCATCTTCCCATTTTTCTTACCAAAGCATATTCTTCTACATCCCCCTAGGTCTTGTGATAAAGTGACAAAGATTGGAGGTGATATCATGAGTCAGAAGATTCAACCTCCTAGTATTCACTTTAATTCTCTGTAGCCAAGTTCTAAAGTGGATTCAATATCTCGCTCAAGTAAACTTGAAAAATGTTATCCTCAACCATTTCAGGAGCAAGTACAATTCATGAAATGACAAAGTCATCCAAACTCATCAAAGTTCTCAAACTTTGAAGACAATAGTTAACTGGTGTGTATATTCTCCTTAGAGTAACCTTCAAAATGTTCTCCTCAACCATTTCCAGAGCACGTATTATTGGTAAAATATCTAAAGCATCTGAGGTCATAAAAGTTCTTAAACGTTGAAGATGGTGCTTGGAACATGCACTATAAAACTACTCTACCTACTTTGCAGGATAAATGCAAACTTAACCTTATCCATATTAGAAATCAGATCTACTTTTAACCAGCAGAACAATTGCACCAAGTGACAAACTGCAATTGGACTTCCCCAAGTTGATATGCCATATATGACAACTGAAGGCGCTGTACTTCCTATGGACAACCTTAGCCTCCTGTTGCTTGCCAATTCTCATTGAACTAACCAATCTACGACATGGCAAGACTAAAGAGTTCAAAGCCCTATCAATTAAAATTACTGATCAATCCACTTATGAATAAGCTAACTGCAAGAAAATCCAAATAGGAGACTAAAGAGTTTACTTGGTGAAAGGTAAGAATGCCAAACTTAAATGTATCTGCTTGATTATAAAATAAGCCTAGAGAAAGCCATCAAAACTATTGCTTGTTCTGCACGTCTTAAGCTGTGCCAGAATGATGAATATAAAACCTTTTATGGCATCTATGAACAGCAGTCGATGAACATAAATTAGTATTAAATGACTATCCAAATACTTCGCAAAAAGATAAGCTTGAACGAGCAAACTAAGTTGTCACAGAGATAGAAAGCTATTTACCAACTTGCATATTCCAACTTGATAGAGATAAATGGAGCTAAGTCCCAAAAGTCCCTGAAAAGTAGCATGTACAAAATTATGCAAGAGTACTAGAAAAATTATCGATTCATTACAGAAAATTAAATAAAATAAAAAAGAAGGTTGTAAAACTCCTCAGAGATGACTTGTACTGTTCTATATGTAAGATGAAAAGGCCATTCAGATAAAACATGTAAGATTCATGTCAAGCGTAACTTTGTCTGAAGCTCCACATGAATTGTTCAGAAGTCTTTCAAATCAGGGAAGTAGTGATGACAAATATTAAAAACACTTGCCAAATGGAGAGAAAAAAATTAAAAGAAAGCTAACACTTGTTTTTAGGGCAATGAAATTCTTCAGGACTTTGCTTCAAATTCCAAGGTCAAGCTGAATCTCAAAGCCTTACCGTATAACATGAATGAGTAAATTTCTCAAGAAATAATAAGCATTGTAGGAATATTAGTGTTACCTCACTTAGATTGTAACATACAATCAGTATCCTTTAGTGCTCAAACAAGATGTGTTATACGATATTGGAGCTTGGCATTTTCTGCATGTAGCTGCTTTAGCTCTTTCTGAGCCTAAAAGGGATATAAAACAAGACTGGGTTACCTTTTTAGCACTATTTAACATGCAAAAATTAAAAAAACTGCACAAAGCACACCTTTTCTCTTTCTAAAGCTTGCTCCGCTTTCACATTTTCTAGCTTTGACTAAAGCTCACGAACCTTATTCAATAATTTCTCATTCCCAGCATCTGAAGAAGCATATCGATATGAAGAAAAGGTTAAGGATGAGTTAAGTAGTAGATGTCAGAAAATTCAAAATGAAATCCGTTGAAATGCATTGATGGTTAAACCTACTTCTGTCACTAGCAATAGCAGCTTCAAGTCTTTCCAATCGAGTCTACATGACAAAGAAGGAAATTTCAATCAGTAAAACCCCTATCGTCAACAAAAACGAGGACAGATCTCCCAAACTGTCATTTGATTAACATATTACCCCTAAAAGCTTAGTGCACGCTACAATTATTAATAAAGCAAAGCGTAAAAAGTAGTATTCGAATACAAGAAAATAGTATTCTACAATTCTGTAACTTCATTTACATGCCAAACACAAAAGAATCCACTACACAAGGGTGTGTTTGATTCCTCAAAGAGAGTTGAATTGTATACCATAGGATTTAAGTAAAATTTCTATAGACAAGTCCAATTCTAGTGCAACTCCAATTCTCACAAGGAACCAAACAAAAACATCAAACAGAAGAATCCGAAGCTCCCAATTTAGATTCCTGGACTAATTTAATATCTGATTCATGTGTTTATAATTCGTAAACATAATTGATGCAACAGTAAAAGAAACGTCAAAATAAATTCATCAAACTAGTCTAAGAACTCCTGGTAAAGCCCTTCAAGAATTGAATTAAAGCATGAGATTTGATACAAGAAAAATTAAAGCATAACACATCAATGACAAGTAATTAAAAAAAAAAAAGAAAAGAAGAGAAAAGCACCAAGATTTAGACCCATAATGTGGGAGTTAACGAGCTAAAAAGAGATCAGAAACCTCAGCCTCAGAAGCTCGCTGGTGAAAGGATTTTCAGATTTCGGGCAGATTGTTTTCTGCCATTGGAGTAGATGTAGGCAGCTGCCCGCCTGCCAAGACACGAAAGTGTCCGGTTTTCGGAGAGTTCGAGGTTGGGAAAGGGGATAACCAAAACTTTTTTTCTTTTTGGGTTCTCTCATTTGCGTATGGGAACAACTCAACGAAGTTGTACCAAAAAGTACTACACAATCGGAGTATTTGTTCATCATGCCACCATAAAAAAATTGAAAAAATAAAATTAAAAACACATGCACAGTAGGAGTAATTGGAACAAGTCAGTAACTTTATAGTACAAGTGTACACAAATGGAATTTTGGATGCAACTTGGAAATCTATCTACACATTTACACAAATGATGCATAAATTACAATCAATTTATATACAAAGCATGAGATATTTTTTTAGTGTTAAAATGGGAGTGTTTGGATGTCAATTATATGAAACAATTATTTAATTTATATCATTAACACATTTTCTCATCTATTTATCTTTCTAATCATCTGTTTATCTCACGTCACAAAAAGGTATTACAATGTCAAAATAAATAATTTTTTTTCAAATAATGGATATCTCAATACCCCGATACGTTGATTTACATTTTATTACTACGGAGGGAGCGCCCGCGTATTGCACTAGTGTTAGGTAGGCTTGTCAACAGGTCGAGTCCGAGTCCGGAATTACCGAACCTGGATCCGACCTGTTTATCCGGCGGGTCTTCTACTCTATATTCCGGATCCGACGGGTCCCAGATCCAGGTCGGGTCTACCCGAAAAAATTTATCAAATCTTACAATTTCTAATAAAAAATGAGAAAAAAATATATTTGTAAAACTAATTTCTAACTAATACAAAAAAAAATCAAATAAGAAAAGAAATCAAATTGACTTTACTCAAATACATCACCCTAATCAAATTATATTGATAAATATATATATTTTAAATTATTAATCCATTTATATTCGGATTTGGGTCTAATACGGATCGAAATACTATATTCCGTATCCAACCCGTTTTTTGTTTGACGAAACGGATCCGGATCCGGGTTCGGGTAACGGAATTAAATCTCTACCCATACCCACAATAATTTCACGGATCCGGTACCGTTGACAGGCCTAGTGTTAGGTGCCTGTGATTAAAGAGGATTTTAAGATAGTTGTTTGTTGGTGGTTATGTTGTTATTTTGTAAAGTTTCCAAAATATTTAAATTGGTAGAAGAGTAAGTGAATGAAGATAAGAATGGGATATTATATTAAACGATAATATTTCATAGCATAGGTTTCAATAATAGATTGTTTGCAAAGGCTATTTAAGTCTCCCTTTCTTTAGATTATTATTCAACTTGCATTTCATAGGTTATAGGTAATTTCATTAGCTATATATTTATTCTTGGGGTTAAAATTGTTAATCAAATTAATAAGGATTATAATATCTGTAAAAAGTTATTTAAGTTTTCTTTTCTTCAGATTATTATTCAATTTACATTTCATGAATTACAAGTAATTTCATGGGCTATATGTCTGTTCTTGGGGTTAAAATTCAAAGCCACACTCATTCTTGTACAGTGTGAGGTTTTGTTTCGCATCTTTTGGTTTCTTTTTGGTTCATTTTTTTAGTTTTTCGTAGCAATTTAGTTTTTGTTTACCTGTATAAGAAAGCATTCATTGTTCCATAATATAAGAAAACACTCATTGAAGTTGTTTGTTTGAAGGAGTTTCTACAAATTCATCACTGCATAAGGAAATCGAACCATTTCTATGACCTTTACTTAATTAGAAGGTATATGTGAAACACTATTAATATAAATGGCTTAGAAAGTGTTTATTCTATTAATTCATCAGTGGCTAAACAATTCAAACTCAAATCAGTAGCATACCATGTAACCTACCAATTCACAATGCTTCGCTATCAATTTACTATCAAAATGAATTTCATATATGAATCACCTATTACATGCAACAGAAAAACACACCATAACTAAACTAATTAAAGTGTTTTTTTAGCTTATCTTATTCCAGATACTTCTCGAAAAACTTTTTTTTTGTAGTTGTTCCAAACCTATTGCATCATAAATACACAATTCAAATTACACAAACCAACCAAATTTGTGAAAAAATCATAATATTATAGTTAAATTATGCAACTAGATTTTGCAAAATTTGTGATAGAATCAGTCATTCGACGCGACACACCACCAAAACTACCCACATAAACAATAAAATTAAGAAACAAAACTCACCTCGAACTGAACCACCAAGAATAGTTTCGCTTGAAAATCATTTTGGAATGCAAGGTATAAAGGCAGCAAAAATAGCCCAATCTCGAAAGTCGAAAGAAAAAAAAACCGAAGAATGTGAAGAAGAATGCATTTGAACAACTATAACCGATGCCGAGGTATAAATTTATTAACATACCCACATTTTCTTCAGTTTAATTTAGATGTAAATGACAATGACAATTGAATATGTTTCAAGCAATTGAACATCATCAAGCGGTAAGATTATTGCAACATGCCTTTATTTCAATTGCACAATAAAATACCACACTTCAAGTAAATATGTCTGTAACACCATTTAAGTAATTACACCAATACATAAGCTTGTATGACTTGTACATGATGCAAAAATGATTATAAAATAATCCCATATTCCAAAAGTACTCAAATGTCTCCATAAATAAACGCTTTAAATGTGCAAATATGAGGAGATTTTCATAAACATACCAAAATGCATGCTACCATCACTTGTATCCAGAGCTAAAAATAAACTCCACATCATGCCACATTTTAAAAATGCCCCTATCCATGTAGTTGAAATTCAAAATCCTCTTTGACCACAACTCATTCTTATATTATAGCAACATGTCTTTATTTCAATTGCACAATAGATATTACATTTCAAGTAAATGTGTTTGTAACACCATTTAAGTAATTACACCAATACATAAGCTTGTATGACTTGTACATGATGCAAAAACGATTATAAAATAATCTCACATTCCAAAAATACGGAAATGTTTCCTTAAATAACGTTTTAAATATGCAAATATGAGGAGATTTTCGTAAATATACCAAAACACATGCTACCATCACTTGTATCCAGAGTTAAAAATAAACTCCACATCATTCCACATTTCAAAAATGCCCTTATCCATGCGATTGAAATACAAAACCCTCTGTGACCACAACTCATTCTTATATAGTATAAGGATGTTTACTCCCTCACATTATAGCACTTCAAAAAAAAAAGAAAAAGAAAAAAGGAAACTAAACTGTCATGTTTGGATTGCATTTTTCTGAATATTTTGTACAAAAATTATTATAGTGATTTGATATATGTGAGATAATAAGATGATTGAAAAATGTGTTCGCGAAAAACGTAACAATTGAACACAATAACTTTCTCCAATAAAAAAAAATTACTTTCCAAACAAGTAAGTTTGTAATTTCCCCCATCTCCTCATTCTCATCACATTGAACACAATAACTTTCTCCAACTCTTCACCAACTATTGAATACTTTTTTGAAATCAAGTACTCATAAAAGAGTTTGCAAAACCTAGTGTGGTATAATGTTTTAAAATTTCTTTTATACCTACACTACTAAGGGTAAAATGGTGCCAAATCACAAAACCCCCATCAAGAATTTGATACTCTTACCAATCCCGTAAAAGGTAAAAAACACTAACAATAAGTATAATTATCATGGTCTTAGATTTTCCAAAGGCATAATTTAACAAGATAACTTAAAATTTTTTTATCAATTTGTAAGAGAGTAAAATTAAGTAGTCTATAAATTAAGTGCAAAAAAAAAATTCTAAAATCCTAAAGGCTATCTAGTTAAAACTCAAACTTTGGGTATTAATGAGATAGTTTGGATTGCACTTTTTGAAAAGTTTTTTTTTTTTTTTACAAAAAATTACTTAACATTTTTTTCGGATATGATGTATGTACGGTAAAATTAAAAAATATGTAAAAAAATCACCAAAAACCACAAAAATTTTCTTAAAAAAAATTAATAATCTAGACAGGGTCTAAATATTTTGGAGGTCATGGCATTGGCAGGGAAAGGCTCATTGACTCTTAAGGGCAATATATATTCATCCTTAATATAGTCATCCTTGAGAGTACAACTCCTTTAAATTATCCAAAGGGCAATATACATTTCACTCCCATGTGGTTTAGCACTTTTTCAAATAACTCTCTTATGGTTTGAAAAATTATATATAACTCTCTCATAATTTAGATTAAAGTGTCAAAGTCACAGAATTTGCATTCTATAACAGAGTCAACTAAAATGTCAAAAGTACTTTTTTTGTGAAGTTGAAAATTATTAATTAATCTTAGAGGGGTTATGTAGATATTTTGAAAACAATAAGGGGATTATATAATAAAATATAAAACCATAAAGGATTAAAGTGCCATGCATATTAAGTTTATATATTTTGGTCAATTCAACTATTTTAGTTTTTAAACAAGGATATTTTCGATATTTACTTGGCTTCTGTTACAGAGGATCATTTTCGTTACTTTGATACTTTAGTTTAAATTATGAGGAGGTTATGTATATCTTTTGAAACTATTGAGGAAGTTATATGAAAAATTGTTAAACCACAAAGATGTACAGTGTATTTTGTCCTGATTGAAAAGAAAAGGAAAAACAAAGCCTGGTCAAGAAACAAAAAAGCCTTCCCGCAGAAAAGTCTTCCAAGAAATTTTGCAGAACAATTGCAGTGAACTTGACTCTCAAATGTGAATTCAAATCAAGGCCAGAAAGAACACGCTACAAGCCTCCCTTGGTCCCCCTAAGACGCAGATTGGAAAGACCTTGACATAGAACTTAAATGCAGATCTTTAAACTCACGCTACCTCAGAAAGAATTTGACGGGAATTAGCTGAAACATCAATGTCGCTGTTACTTAAGCACTAAAACAAATAATGACCAAAATATCTTGCACAAAATCATAAAGAAATTATATGAATAAATGTAAAAATCACTCGAGAATAAAGTGGATATTCATGCGAATTATAGATGATTTAGTGGACATTATGATTTTATCACACACATTTGTTGAGGGCATCTAGTTCAATTGCCGTTACTGATGGTATTTTTTATTCATTTTTTACTTTATATAGAACTACAAGAGAATTATGTGAAGATTTTAAAATTTTAAGAGGTCATGTGGCAATATGTAAAATTACAAAGGGGTTATATGTAATTTATCGTAAAAATAATTATCAAAATTCCAAGATCCTAAATAAGAAGCCAAGAAGGATAATTAATGACTACCCTCCTGTGCATTTGTACAATACCATATGATCCTCTTAAAGTTTTAAAATATCCACATAACTCTCTTATGATTTTATGTAAAGTTGAAGTTTGATGAAACATAGTCTTCATAACTTGTTAGCTGTAATGATAATATTGCCCTATTTCAGGCACTAATTTGAATAAGGGTCTAATCATTTTTCATAAAATTACATGAGGATTGTGTAGATACATACGAAACTAGAGCGGATTAAGTGAATATTTATGCAAAACTATAGAGGAATCAAGTGGATATTACAATTTTATTATCAGACATACTTTCAAAACACGTCTCGGTCAATCATTGTAAACGAAGATGGTTTCCATCCAATTTCCATTGTCCATAATATCATAGGAGATTATGTGGGTATTTTGAAACTTTAAGGAGGTCATGTCATATTACGCAAAACTACAAGGGGTAGAGCAATTTGTCCAAACAGGAGAAGCCAAATTTTGTACCTCTGTAAAACTACTATAATATGATTCAAAGAGAAGCTTCTTGGCTATGAATAGTTTTTCTTCCATGACAATACGCATTGTAAATGTACGAGGGAAAGGGAAAAAATTAAAAGAAATTCCACTTTTTCACTGTCTAAGAAACTTTTATCATCAATGGACTTTAAAACAAATAAGCTATATCTTAGTTGAACTCTTTGTACTTGAAGTTGGGGCTATATCTAAGAAGTTGCACATGAGACCCAAGTGAAAGACCGACTTCGAAAGCGGGATGAAATCAGATGCCGAAAAAGACAGCATTACGAGTATTCCAAATTAAAACGCGTAATAAAATATCCATGTCGGTTACTAGATTCTAAGGACCTTGACTTGATTGTAAATGCAAGACTTTAAATCCAAGCTAACCCAGGCTAATTAATTCATGCAATTGACCTGAAATGGTATAGAAGGAATTAACCACCAGCCTTTGACCATCAAGCCTTTAAGACTTGGTGGGGTACGTAGGAGGCGAGGGTTCAAACCTTACCTCCCACCAATTGCCACGTTAAATTGTGGATTTGCTTCAAAAAATTCAGGCGGGTGCATAGTGTACCTATTTAGTCCGGTGGCGGTTCAGTCCCCCTCCGGATTACCCCTGGACTTCCTTAGGTCTCTCTCCTCCCCCTAGTGTATGATAGATTATGATATAGTACAATTGTCGTCTCCAGAAAAAGGAAAAAGGTATAGAAAGAATTAGCCACTTCATTTAGCAAAAAAGAGTAAATTCCTCAGCCGAATCCTAAAGCGATCCATCACTTTTATACACTTTTAACCCCCAAATTATATTATATGTTATTTAAACCCTTAGACAAGTTAATGTGTAAGTTTTAGCCCATTCTATCAATTTTTGCTATTTGACCTGACAGAATGGAGGGGCAAAGGGGCAAAATTATCCGTTCACATATTTGAGCAGAAGAATATACTTCTAAGACCATCATATATATTAAATACTACTCATAATTAGAGTTGTAAACGAGTCGAATTGATTCGAGTATCTCATGTTTGAACTCTGTTTGTTAAGCTATTCGAATAAGATTTATGTTCGTTCAATAATATTCGAGATTCAAATCTGTGATCGTGTTCGGTTTGTTAAAAAATATCCTAGTTAGAATTCGACTCATTTAATATGCCGTTCTCGACAAATTAAACCCATGTTTGCTAACAATTATGCGTGGAATTAGCATTATAATATTAACCATAAATTTTGTGAAAATGATAATTAGGTCCATGTGCGCGAATGAACTCGTGTTCATTCGATTATTTATTGAGTCAAAATATTTGTCTGAACTTGACTCATATAAAATTTCGAACGAGTCTAAACAAGCCGAGCTAACAAACAACTGTGTTCGTTTAATAGCTCTACTCATATTTTTCTTCTTTTCACGAGACTGCCAAAACAACATCAAAGAAAGTGCTAGTACCTTCTCTCCTTTCTTGTTTCTTTTTCGCTCCTAAATTCACAAACTAAGCCTTGCATGCTAAAATTTACTGTTAATCAGATTTTCAAATTTTGCCCTTAGATTTCCCCTTAAGCAAAAAAGAGGACACCCATTGGATTTGAGTAGCATGCGAGGATGATAGAGACTGTTCTTAAATAAATAAATAAAAAAGGTTATGAATAATTTCCTTTTAATTGTACCACTTCTTCTTAAAATCTGGCAAAGGTTACCAATTTATTCGCAGTTCGATTGGGTAGAATTGCACACGTATCTGGTAAAAGTCCTTTTCCAAAAAAAATATGTGAGTTCAAAGAAATAATAGAGAGTTATTGAATCATTCTCTTTCTGAGAAGTGTCTAAATTGCGTTTGCCTTTTGAGAAGAGAACAATCAACATAGTTGAATAGAAACCTTTCAGCCCGACAAATTTGACTGGTTTTTGAAACTTGAAAGATGTGACTTTGAGCAATGCCCATTAACCAGTAATCAATGCTGAACGATCCCTCCAAATCACAGGTTTAAGCTAATGAATTGTGAAAAAAGATGAGTATATATCTTATGCGTTACTAATTATTCAAATAAATAAAAAAAATAATTCATTATTGCGGCCAACATACCGAGTAGACAAGAAAATCCTGATCAACAAGATTATTATAGCCAATCAATTCACCGGGGGACTTCAGAGGAATTATACAGAGTGTGTTTTGTTTTAATTGCATTTCTAACAAAATACACACAACAATTCCAGTGGTACACATTAAAACACGTATGTCATGGTGCTTGTATCCAGACTACCACTGATTACTCAAATTGTTCTCCCTTCTTTGTTTTTAATGTTTAGGATTGACAAGCTACGCCTTATATCTAAGATTTACAATTTTTTTTTTTTGGGTTTTAGAAATCTGCTCTTAGAAGTTAGAATTTATTCTTTAGCACAAAGAGAGCAATAATTAGATTTAAGAACCATATGAGGATTGGGGAGTAAGTTTTTAAATTTTTTTTGTAAAAAAAAAAAAAAAAGGTTAATTGCAAGTAATTTCCTTTTAACTGTACCGCTTTTGCTGAATTTGGGCAAAATTTACCAGAAAATCAAAATTGTGCTGGCCTACACATTATACCAATTATTACTATATCATTTATGACATCGAATGTTGCACTTCGTGTTGCACGTTTTAACTAATTATGCTAATAAACATATAACTGTACACTTGTTACCTGATCTATTTAGATATGCTAAATCTATAGAAATGCAAAAGAAGGATCGTTAGAGTTTAAACTCATATCATATGTCTTGGTGTGCGCAAATGCCTTGAACAAAGATATGTCATGAATTTGATTGCCCAAAAGGTTACATACCGGTATTGAATTACTGGCAGCAAAATGTACTTTTAAAACCGAAACATTACTAATTTGCTCCCTTTCTCGCTAGTCTCAAACAACAAAAACGAAAGAAGTTCTAATACTTCTTTTCCTTTTTTAATCATAACGTAAATTGTTCGTTCTTCTTTCTTTTTAATCTCCTAAACTCACAAACTAAGCCTTATATATCTGAGCTACAATTAGATTTTTTTTTTTTTTATAGAAATCTGTCCTTGGAATTTATAATTTACTCTTTAGCACAAAGAGCAATAATTAGATTCGAGAACCATGTGAAGATGATGGGGTGTGTTTTTAAAAAAAAATTTTCAAAAAAAAAAAAAAAGGTTGTGAATAATTTCTTTCCGATTGAACCGCTTTTGGCAAAGGTTACCAAATCTAACTCTGATTTTTTCTCAAAAGTGGAATCAACTCAGGACCACAAATGCTGCTGACTGCACTGCATTCCGAGTCTTCCAAATTAAAATGCGTGTATCACATTGCTTTTAACAATCCGTGGGAAAGATACAGATTGGAAAGACACTACTGGCCTGACTCCCTTTTAAGTGCGAGTCTTTCAATCCAGACTACTTAATCAGGGCGGGCGGCGGGCGCTTACATTTCATCTATCTTATCTTAATTACGGTCTTTCATAGTACTATAGCATCGATGGATGTTGGATGCAGCGGAGTTGTTCTTCTCATGATACTGGCTATTGCACCAGTTGCAGTAGCAGCAAAGGAGTCTGCTGTGAATTTATTGGAAGCTAAGGCACTGCTCCAGAGTGGCTGGTGGGGAGACAGTAGTGCTACTGCAACAAACATCTCTGCCCACTGCCACTGGTCTGGTATCATTTGCAACGATGCTGGTAGTGTTACCGAAATACTACTTCCAAACTACGGAATTCAAGATGAGTTGACAAATTTCAGCTTCTCTTCTTTTCGGAACCTGGTTAGACTAGATCTCAGTCGAAATGGTCTTTACGGAGCCATCCCACATCAAATAGGTACACTCTCCAAACTCGCCTATCTCGATTTGTCTTTCAACAAACTTGAAGGTGAGCTTCCGTCTTCTCTAGTAAACCTTACACAACTAGCACATCTCGATGTTTTTTGGAATTCAATTGACAACTTAATTCCTCCATATATCGGAAACTTGACAAACTTGGTTACTCTAGACTTGAGCCTCAATTCATTTTTTGGTCCCATTCCTCCAACTCTTGGTCAATTGTCCAATCTAGACTCCCTTGACCTCAGCAATAACAACTTCAATGGAACGATTCCTTTAGCTCTTTGTCGTTTGACAAATCTTTCCCGATTATACATTCACTCGAATCCCTTAATGGAAAGATTTCTCCCAAAAGAAATAGGAAATTTGAAGAGTTTAGTTGAATTAGACTTGAGTAACAGTAGATTTTCTGGCAGCATCCCTCCAACTCTTGGTCAATTGTCTAACCTTGACTCCCTTGACCTCAGTAATAACCACTTCAATGGGACGATTCCCTCAACTCTTTGTCGTTTGACAAATCTTTCCCGTCTATAAATTTGCTCGAATCCCTCAATGGGAGGATTTCTTCCAAAAGAAATAGGAAATTTGAAGAGTTTAGTTGAATTAGACTTGAGTAACAACAGATTTTCTGGCAACATTCCTCAAACTCTTGGACAATTGTCCAACCTCGACTTCCTTGACCTCAGCAATAATCACTTCAATGGGACAATTCCTTCGGCTCTTTTTAATTTGACAAATCTTTCCCGACTAGATATTCACTCAAATCCCTCAATGGGAGGATTTCTCCCAGAAGAAATAGGAAATTTGAAGAGTTTAGTTGAATTAGACTTCAGTGACCTTAATCTTTCAGGTGCCCTTCCTTCAGCTCTTTGCGGTCTAACCAAACTAGTATCTCTTTCAGGTGCTAAGAATCAAATATATGGTTCCATTCCCTCTGAAATAGGAAATTTGAAAATTTTGAAATATCTCGATCTTGGGTCCAACCGGCTGACTGGTCAAATCCCTTCGAACCTTAGCAATCTGCCGTTTCTACAAATTCTAGATCTTTCCTCAAACCAACTTACAGGCCCAATTCCTACCCAATTTGGCGATGACATTCTTAAATCCGAGTGGTACCTTTGGACTTTGGATCTTTCCCACAATATTCTCTCTGGCACTGTCCCCTCATCTCTTCTGCGACTGGGCAACGTCGACCTGTCCTATAATACTTTGGAAGGTGAACTTCCGTGCGAGCTTGTCATTGAGTTTGGTTTAGAAAGATTTGCCGGCAATCCAGGCTTGCGTCACGATTCCACTCTTTGTGGCGCATCTCCTTCTGTTGTGGGAAACCATAGACATCACACCCCATACTACATCATAGGTCTTGGCGTATCCTTGGGGGCGTTCTCATTAATTGGCGGATTAGCAATTTATATCTTCTGCAAAACCAAAGTCAAGAAAGTGGAAGTTGAGCTGATAGACAATAAACACGGAGACATGTTTAGAATTTGGAACTATGATGGAAATATGGCTTATGAAGACATAATTAAAGCAACCAATGATTTTGATGTCAGTTATTGCATCGGGACAGGGGGTTATGGCAGCGTGTACAGAGCTCAGTTGCCAAGTGGGAAACTAGTGGCTTTGAAAAAGCTTCACCGTTTGGAAGGCGAGAATCTGAATTTTGACAAGAGCTTTAGGAATGAAGCCAACATGCTATCTAAAATCAGGCACAGGAACATTGTAAAGCTCTTTGGATTCTGTCTGCACCAGCGATGCATGTTTCTGATTTATGAGTACATGGACAGAGGAAGCTTGTTTTGTATCTTGAGAGATGAAAGTGAAGCTGTGGAGCTGGATTGGGTTAAAAGAGTGAATTTGATCAAGGGCATTGCCGGTGCATTGTCCTACTTGCATCATGATTGTGATCCGCCAATCATTCACAGGGATGTATCAAGCAACAACATTCTTTTGAATTCACAGCTTGAAGCAACTCTTTCTGACTTTGGAACTGCGAGGATTTTGGAACTTGATTCATCGAATCAAACAGTCATTGCAGGCACCTTTGGCTACATGGCACCAGGTTGGTTACCTTGCTATCCCAGAACACTTCTTCTTTTCACCTTGTTTTTCATATTTTCTTGATGCACATATTAGGCATAACTTTCAAGGACAAAAAAGAAAAAAAAAATTCTTCCAACTGAAACGTTTTTTTTTTGTTTTTGGAATAGTAAGTCTAGAGTTGTCCAGTTGAGATTAACTTTATTTTAATCCAAATATATACTTGTCAATGCAGAGCTAGCCTATACCATGGTGGTCACCGAAAAGTCTGATGCGTATAGCTTTGGCGTTGTGGTGCTGGAAACGCTGTTTGGAAAGCATCCACAAGATTTCCTTTCCTCCTTTTCATCACAACCCAATGAACCAACAATGCTGAAGGATCTTCTTGATGCCCGTCTGCCCCCTCCGACTAACCCTTTGGTGGTTCGTAATGTGGTTTTCGCAACAGCGTTAGCCCTGGATTGCATCAACGCAAACCCGAAATGTCGACCAACAATGCAGCAAGTGGTGAACCGATTTGAAGTGGGCAGGCGAGAATCAACTAGGCCTTTGCACACCATTGCTGTGAATCAGCTTGTTAGTCCAGTATTTTCACTGCGTGACCAAAACCACACAGATGGACAAGTGGTTTAAGCACTACAAATGAATTCCAAGTGGATATCTCTGCCGTCATCCAATTTTTCTGTCCATGTTTTTACCTAAACAACTTTGACATCTGGTAGGAAACAGAATAAGATCGTGCTTTGCAAAATAGAAACTTGACCAACCACTTAGATTGCTACATACTACCATTTAGTGTGCTAATGAAAATAAAGGGTACTAATTAATGAACAAGTGCTTGGATTCCCGGTAGTTCATCAATTGAGGAAAACGCTGGTGATACCTTATTGCTTCCTGGATTTTTAAGCTAACGTGTATAATAGCTTAAGAAAACGTTGTGCAATTAAAGAAATTCTGGAGCACACGAAGGAAAACAGGAAGTTGATACGGGGAGGTGGTCGTTGGGTATTTGCGTTGTTTACAGAATGGTTGGTAAATACGTTGTATTATTGGTTGGGTTTTCACAATTGGGTGCCTTACAGATGGTTGATGATACTGTTACACCATATGTGAACCAAGGAAAATTATGATACTGTTTACAGATGGATATTCCTCATACGCATTCAGAAACTGCTTCTAAGAGTAGAACTGATAATTTGAGTAATCTTGACCTTTCTTCATATGTGAACCAAGGAATGCCTCTGCCTGGATGTATCGTTCACCAAGAAACCTAGTCTCATGTTTCTGGTAGATTGGATGATCAAAATGGTTCTTGCAAATATACTTTTAGAAGAAATTGGAGGCCACCTTCTGGTTCATTTGTCGCCAACGATCCAGTTTGACCTGCTTGTGGAAGAAATTGGAGGCCATGATAAATGAATGCAGAATCTGTAGAATGCTGTAAATGAATGCTAGCAAAGTTTTATCAATTAATGCGTATATTGCTCCTCATAGTCGAATCGAAATAGTGATGCCTCCCTGTTGACAAATTGATCATCTTATATTAGCTTTTGGAATTTGAAACTTCTTTTCTGGTTGCTTGTTGACATCTGGATGATAATGTTTCCCAGAGGTTAATACCCTTGGTTTCTGGACATATTTACAGTATCCGGCATGTCCTTTTTTTATGATTACTAGCACTGATAGGGTATAATTTGTTAGTAATTTTATTATTGATTTTCCCTTCTATCCCTGACAAATATTGTGTTAATTGCTGATATTTACTCATATTTGGTATTTGGAATCAATTTCAGGAGTAAAGCAGAAAATTACCAAAAAGGAGGGACTTGTATGGAAAAATGCAGACTTCTAAGGGCCTCAACCTTTAGGTCCTTGAATTGGTGGGGACCACAAGCTAGTACAAGGCATTTAGTCATTTGGGCTTTTCAAAGAAAGCAACGTAGAGAGACTTGGAACAACAAGTACTTTGGAGGTTTTGTCCACATGTGCGGGGACCACGGATAAGAAGCATGAGTCATTTGGACTCTAGGAAAAGAAACGTACAAGATTTTGAATTTGGTGTGGGGACCACTAGAGATAGCATTAGACTTCCTTTTGGCTTTAAAAAGGGAGAAACGTACGAGAGGTTTATCAATCAATAGTTTTAGTTTAGGCTTTTAGAATAGTTTTAGTTTTCTTTTCTTAGCTCGTTCGCATGGTTGTTCTCCATTAATGGAGGACTAACCTCTTAATTCTAGTCAAGGGGACAACTGAAGATTTGGTTCAACAATTACTGTGAGATCTAGTTTATTTTAATTGCTTCCTTAATTTATTGGTATTTATATGTTTCCTGCTTTTAATTGCTATACCTCATGTGAGTGATTGAATAGATGCGCAATATTTAATTATTCATATAGGCTATTTTGCTAAATAGGGGTAATTGAATCCGTAATTGTTCGTTATCTCTATCTCAGTAGCAACTGGCGTAATTGGGTTTATGTCAGGGGAACATACGATCTAACTTAAACAAACCCTCGTAGCGTGTTTGTTAGTTAGGATTGGGCCTTTCTAATTATTAATGCAATCTAGAAATTAAATCCTACGGTCGTACCTAGGGTTATTTTTGGGTTAGAAAAATAGCTAACGGTCGTACCTTAGCTATCGAGAAATTAAGGAAGGGTTGGTTGTTTACCGCGTGCATGACAACTATAACTAATCTATTACTAAATGTTGGAATTATATTTGAATCGATGATCAGTTGCATGAACCATTTCTGAAGTGTACCCTTGGCTAGAGTTTCTCCAATTATTTCTTTTAATTAATTATTTTCTGCAGTTAATTTATTTAGTTAGCATTCAATCCAAAACCCCCCCATACTTTGGACTCTAGAAGAAACGAATTATCCCCAGTCCCTGTGGATTCGACCCTACTCACCGCTATATACAAAATCTGTATTTTTCTCGAGTAGGTATTTATTATTGTACAGGTTCGGCACCTGTCAATTTTTGGCGCCGCTGCCGGGGACTGGTGTCAGATTAATTTGTTTCTTTTTGAGTTAATCTTGTTTTCATTTTTTTTTAATTTATTTTTCTCTTATTTTTTTTTATTTTTTATGGCTGCTAACATTCCATATTTTGATGATAGACTGGACTTTGTTCCTGAATGGGGTTATGAGACTCATGTTTTTCCTAATGATCAATGGGCTGTTGCAAATTGTGGAACTTATTTTGACTCAGGTTATTCAACTGACACATGCCCCGTATTTCAAGATAATTTAAGTACTCCACTTGATACTTTTGGAGATTTTCCACCCCAATATCAAACGCAGTATGACCCTTATTCAAACGGGTATGATCAAGAATGGTGGGATAATTCCAATTTTGATTATACGACGGGGCCAATGGATTTTTAACAGCAAGAGTCTCAGCAATCATCCTCCATGTCAGGTATGTCTCTTGAAGAAATGATAGGTTTACTAATTGCTAATTCAAATTGATTTCATCAGGAGACACAAGCGAGCCTAAATCGATATCATCAGAAGACACAAGCGAGCCTTCGCGACCTAGCGGATCAAATGCGTCAATTGACATCCAGGATAGATCGATTGGCTTCTCAAATGGAAGAATTGCCCGCACAAACCAATATCAATCTTGAGGAAGATGAGAGTGCAATTGTCCGGCCAAATGACATGGAACTGCAAGAGTTTCAAGAAAACGGATTTAAAGATGCAGTTGAAAAGGAAGCTGAAGTGCAAGAAATGAGACTCCAAGATCAACTCGTTCAAGTGAATGAATCCAGTGAACAATCTCCAAATGCGGTGACATCTTCTCCACTCCTTCATCAATATTCTCCTGACTCTTATTTTTCAATTCCTGTTAACGAAATTGACTTTATTATACCAGACAATTTTGAATTTCATGACAGGAATAAATTAAGAGTGGCGATGGCGAGATATCTTGAACCAATAAATGCAAGTGAGGGAGGAATGATTGGAGAATGCAAATTATCATCGACTCGTTTGGCGCTATTCACTAGTCCATGGAAGCCCGTAGCTCATGTGCTCAAGGATTATTCTATTTACGAGGGTTATCAGGACTATATAGAGGATGAAGCATTAAAACGAGCTACAAGATTTTATCCGCCATGAGTAAAACGTGATAATGTCTAGCCAAAAACATTAAAGAAAGGCGCTCATTGGGAGGCAACCCAATTTCTTTTAGTTGTTTGTTTGATTTTATTTGTTAGTTTAAATCTGTCTTCCTTGAATTTGACTGATTTTGGGTGTTAATTTTCGTTTTTGCTGATTTATAGGTGACCTTCAGTCATGACGCGCCCGCGTGGTGATGTGCAGGACGCTCACGATCAGAAACTTCTGGGAGCTCTCTTGCCCTCATGACGTGCCCGCGTCACGTTCGCGGGAAAGGTAAGGATTTCCAAAAAAAAAAAAAGAAGAAAAATTTCTCAACCGTAGCTAGGTTTCTCAATTTAAAAAAAAAAAAAATTTCTTCTTCCCTTTTCACCGTAGCTCAGTTTTCAAAAAAAAAAAAAAAATCTTTTTCCTTCTTTCTTTTTCTTTCTTTCTTTTTTTTTTCTTTCTTCCTTCTTCCCCGCTGCTTTCCCTTTCCCCCTGTCCTTTTCTACTTCAGCCGCAGCCTCCATGCTCCATGCCATCAGATCGCACGCCATCAGCTCGCGGCCAAGCCGCGCCTCTCTTCACTGACCAGCTGCGCCGCACCACCAGCTCTTCAGCCCTTCACCTGCGCGAGAAGTCGCCGCCTCAGCTCGCCACTCCGCCGCTGCCATCGCGACAGCCCACGAGCCCCGCCTACTTCTCCCTCTCTCTGCCGCACGTCACCTCCACCCCAGCTCATCCGCCTCGCGTGCACCTCCTCCGTCGCGCCCCAGCTTCACCCCGCGCCGCCCTCCAGCCAGCTCCACCTCTGCACCTCCAAGCTCCACCGCCAGTCCACACGCGCAAGCCACCTGTCAAATTTCTTTGACAGGTGGAGGTATTGAATTCTTCCCCAAATTAGTTTCACTCTCTGAAAGTTGTGGTTGAATTTCTTGATGGATAAACGAAGGTGATAATTTGGGCATTTTCTAGGGTAAATTTTCAACAGAGTTGGGTTTAATTGCTGACATAGTGGGAATATTTTCTGCTATTATTTGAATTTTTGGCCTGTTGATTAATTTTTCCCTGTGACTCACCAGTGGTACTGGTTGATTAATTTTAAAGTTTAAGTTCTTGCGGTTGTGTTGCTACCATTGAATTTAATTCTTTCCTGTCTGTGCACCAGTGGTACTGGTTGCAGTGTTGCTTTCCATTTCTTAATCCTCTGTGCTGGACTGCCTATTCGATTCTTGAGTTTTGGTGCCTGAACTGTCTCTCGATTCTTACCATTAGTTGCTGGAATTGCTGGTTTCTTGGGTCATTTGCCAATTTTGGTGGGTTTAACTGGGTATTTAACTGTCCAATTGGAGACAGTTGTTGAGATTTCGGGTGGGTTTGTGTCCAATTGCTGAAATTTGTTGCGTTGTTTAGTCACTCGCACTGCTCCTAGTTGGCTCGAGTAAAACTGGTTGGACGTCCCTAGCCCGTGGAGTTTAACTGTTACATTGTTTAGGGTGATTTTCTGGTATTGATCGAATTGTTGGGCATTATTTGGGGGTTTTGGCTGCTTGAGACCTCTATTGCACCCTTAGTTGAGTAATTTTCTGGGTTGGTTTGTTGAATTAGTATTGCGAATGGTTGACTCTAAGTACCTTGTTTGGGGAGTATTCAGTTTTGTGATTTCAATTGCTAAGCTCATTGGAGCACTTGCCGAGATTTTGAGTTGCATGATTTCTGCATTGAC